CATGTATACATAGCCTTTACTTGACAATTGTAGTGGAAATAGTAAAGTTGTTATTATATTTGTATTCTAAATAAAAAGTATTTTAGATTATTTGTATTAGTTAAAATTGATTACGCTTTAAATTTCACGTGTAACATCATATTAATATGATTCACACGTTTGATCGTTGTAATCGTTTCTACAAATTTAAATATTGATGATTATTTCTCTAACCGACCAAAATCGGAATGGCACATTTTTGATGCTTATATAATTGCCATGTTAAAGTTCAATCCAATTATTACACCGCAACAATTGTATACATCCTTTTGTAACCAAAATGGCAGTTGTCCAAGATACGTGATAAATTATGCAGCAAAGCTAAGGAAAGCCATCAAACTAAGCTTTCACTAGTAGATTCCCTTTCTAGATTTGTCATAACTAATTAATTATTATATTATAGAAACAGAAAAAAACTTATTTCATTGACTTGGCTGAGAAGCTTGCTGAACGCACTCAACGAGAGAATTTAATGCAGGAAAATAAAATTGATATTCAGCAAAAGCAGAAGTACTCTTTTGTTCATAATATGTGGATGATTTTAGTACTATAGTGCAATATATTAATGCGCAACAACTAATACATATATCATACTGCTATGTCAAAAGGATTGGATGATATAACAGATGCAATCATTGGAAACGCAAAAGAAATGATGATGGAGAGAGAGGGACGATGAGAACAAACTAGACATTGTTACTGACAAAGATACAGTTAGTAATAAGGATTCAGATTCATTTATAATTAACTTAGAATCGAATGACAATAGTAAAATTGAAAATATGGTAAGGGTAATAACAATTGCTTGGTTTCATCATTAAATAATATGTGCTAAATTTTCACATATTTTAATAAATTGATTAGATTGACTTAAGCATATTTTTACATGGATCATGTACCAAAAATGAAAATACTTTGAAGGATGTATATTCATATATAAATTACTGAAGATGATCGATTTTTATTTTATATTTTTCAACTTTTTTCATATTTTAGTGGACATATGAAGGACACAATTTCTCTAAAGAGTTTCGATAATTCCAGATGTCAGTTATTGGAAATTTGAAAATTGATCCAGCTTTGAGCTACGGAACTGATGTTGAATCCATACTGTAGGTTTTTAGTACTTGATATGATAACTATTGTATATTCAATGGATTCCACATATCATTT